CCTCCCATAATCCTCTGGCTGTTTCACAGTTGAAAACAGCATCATTCTCAAACAGACCAAGTGAAAACCTACCCGTGTTTACAGAAAAATGCAATTCTCAGGTACAGCAAACACCGGATGTCGGTCAGATGCATCCTTTGCCTCAGACTTTTAATCAGTCTAACCTGAGAGCTAAAGAAATGCGTAGTGAAGGCAAAGCCAATATTCAGCAGGGTGCTGTCCTACAACAAGTAGATCCCAAGTCAAAGGTGCTGCCTGTTCCCTGTGGTGGGGCCCAGGTACCAGGTGCTGTTGAAGCTCTCAGGAATATGGAGTGTGCGGGCGAAGTGACCGTTCCGACTTCAACCAGTTTGGGTACTGACCACCCACAGAGCACAGGCAACTCAGGGTGTTCTCCAGCAAAAAACACACTCAGCAGTTTCCTTGAATCACCTATGAAGTTTCTTGATACCCCAACAAAAAATTTGATAGATACACCTACAAAAAAAGGACAGTCTGAGTTGCCAACTTGTGACTGTGTTGGTAAGTATTTTTCCAAAGTTTGGCCTGTGCCTTTCAGGTGGAAATGTGTGCTCATGTTGCTTCCTTTCATGTGAGGAAGTGAAGTGTACTTGACTGTTGCAAAGGTATCGGTGTTTCACCGATAGGAAGTGGGAGAAAATTATTTTTTCCCTTTTGTAACTTTTATTTGGTGCTCTTCGGGTCAACATGCCCAGCAGAATTGAGTGGTTTTGTTTATTGCAACTGACAGGTTTAAACTCTGCTTAAATTCAAACCCAGAAGGAAAAGGAGTTTTTCAATTTGTTTTTTTGTCATTGCTGACTTGGGCTCTGTGTGAATGTATCAGCAATGTATCAGATTCTGATATTTATGGTTTATAACTAGTTTCTGCCTACAATGGGCTGGGCAAAACTTGCCCTGTATATTGTCATTGTTGCCTACATGCTGATAAGCAGCAGGGCGTGGTTGTGAGGAGTGGTGTTACTGTCACTTTGGTCCTGCTTGACTCATGTCAGTTTGCATCAAAGAGTCCATGTCAAAGGCTGCTGGATACCTCTCCTTGCTGAGAAGAGAGGTAAGGTAGAGTTCAGGTGAGGCCATGTACATAATAATTGCAGTGTGAGGTGTCAAACCAAGCTCAGTGTTGAGGATTTTGCAAATATAGCTTGACTGATGCTGTTAGTCATGCTGTGTTTTCAGACTATCAAACTGCACAGATGGAAAAACGAGTCAGAGACTTAACAACAAATTGTACACAAGCAGATTGTTTCATCTTTGCTGCAGTGTTCTGAATCAGCAGAGTGCTAGTTGGGAGGCTTGGATTATGTTCCATTTTCTGTTCTGTAGTATGTGACTATCCAATGTTCCATTTTCTGTTCTGTAGTATGTGACTATCAGTTAAATATTTTCTCCCTTGATTCTGCTTTGTCTAAAATGAATTAATGTTTTCCTACCAACAAGGATATTGGGAAGCTTACTTAGTCAATACATGCCAGCTCCAGTGATGAATGTTTGTAAAGCATGCCAAATATTGCTATAATTAGAATTACTTTATAACATAAAGAAAAATACTAGCAGATGAATAGGAGGAAACAAATGTAAAATAATTGTTATGCCTCTGGAGAAAAACCTCTTATACTTTTGATTCATTACACTTCAGAAACAAGTTTTATGTACTGTAATTTAAATCAGAATATGTTTCAGTAAACCACTTCTAAGCTTATTTGTAGTGGTGTAAATAAATTTTGTATGTGCCAACTTAGTTTTCTCAACCTGTTTACAGAGCAAATTATAGAGAAAGATGAAGGTCCGTATTACACACACCTCGGGACAGGACCCAGTGTTGCTGCTGTGAGAGAAATAATGGAGAACAGGTGAGGAGAATTCAGCATTTAATGCTCACAGTATTTTTCACTGTCTAAACAGGAAAGGAGCTGGGAGAAATCAGGTGCTGTTTAGCTTTGCTTTTGTCACCTTTTTGCAGTACTCATTTGTTAAGTGCTTTTCTCTTCAGATGTACATGAGGTGAGCACTGGCACTTCAGGTCCAAACTCGTGTGTCTTTCCTGAGACTCTTGGAATTTTAGGGTTGAATTTCAAGTGCAAT